TGTGTGTGTCACTAGGGATGGAACCCAGGGGCACTTTACCACTGGGATTAACTCTCATACTCCCAGCCCTTTTTATTTTTTCTAAGTTTCCCAAGATGCTTCAGCCTCCTAAGTCACTGGGATTATCGGTGCGCACCACTGCACCCAGTGGGAGGGTTAAAATTTTTGTGAGAGAAGTGTGGAGCAATGGGAGAGCCAAGAGCAGAGGAGGGAAGGGATATGACTTTGTTTTGTTTATTTATTTGCTTGTTTTGGGTGCTGAGGATTGAACTCTGGCTGCTTTACCACTGAGCCACATCCCCAGCACTTTTTATAATTTTGAGACAGGGTCTCACTAAGTTGTCTAGAGCCTTGCTAAGTTGCTGAGGCTAGCCTCAAATTTGTGGTTCTCCTGCCTCAGCCTCCCAAACCACTGAGATTACAGGTGTGCACCATTGCACCAACCAAGACTTCATTTCAATAGGATCCCTCCATAGGGAGTTGATTTTAGTGGGCCCAGAAGAGGGGTCTGGGGAGGAGATTTGGATCCTACCCTGAGATCCATGGATAGGGAGGAGGCAAGGAAGGAGGCAGGGAGACTAGTGAAGACATTACTGTAGCCATCCCAGCTGGGACAGATAGGGGCCTAAAATGGGGGGTTGGGTAAACATTTTAGGCCACTAATTTGAAATATGTTGAAGGGTTTAGCTGGCCTTAGTGATCAGATGTGGTGGTGAGAGGGACATTAAGAGCTGTTTACTCAGATTGGGCATATGAGAGGGAGCATTTGGGGAGGCCCAGGAGAATGTCAAATGTTGTCACTGCAGAGTGTCCAACACTGTGCCACGGGCATTCCACATGGTCACTGTCTTCCTCATCACGATTACTCTGACTTAGGTGCTGCTATGATCCCCTTTTACAGACGCAGAAACAAAGGCCCAAGGAGGCTAACAGCTTGCCTGAGGTCACCCAGCCTGGATATTGCAGAGCTGACGTGTGAACCGACTGACCTGTGACTAGCTGACCAGAGGGCGGGGCAGCAAGCAGCTGCCTAAGAGGTAGGAGGGAAATGGGCAACTGTGTGTGGGGAGGTTCCTGTGAGATACGAGACCAGGGTTTACTTGGGAGGTGTTTTGGGGAGGTGTGCGGATGAGTGGGCCCTATTTTGCAGGGATTGAAACTGAGGCTTGGAGAGGGACAGCTCAGGTTTGAAGTTACATAGTTCAAGGAAGGAGAATGGCGACTGAACAGGGGCCGCAGCTGATAGAGCCTCCTGCCCAGGTGGGTGGCATGAAGCAGCAGGAAAATGAGGACTTGGTTGGAGCAACTGTCTCTTCCGTCCTGGGTCAGGTAGCCCTACTGTGGTGCTCTGAGGAGAGCCACCACCCAGACCTCATTCCTCTAGGACTCAAGAAAGGCACCACCCAGGCAGGAACATTAATCAAGGACCCACTACACCCCAGAGACATTACATACCTACCCTCCTATGCAGGGTGAGGCTGTGAAGAGGGAGAACGGGGTGCACACAGCCAGGGGAAGGCATGGCCACACTGGGAACCCATGTGCCACCTCCCAGTAAGTCCTACCTGGCCAGTGTTACCCAATCATGTATTTGAGAGAAGATGGATGGAAACACTGTGGCCAAGTACAGCCAGTTAGATTCCTCTTCTTTTTTGCTACTGGGGATTGAACCCAGAGGTGCTCAACTACTGAGCCACATCCCCAGCTCTATTTTGTATTTTATTTAGAGATAGGGTCTCAGAGTTGCTTAGTGCCTCACTGTTGCTGAGACTGGTTTTGAACTCGTGATCCTCCAGCCTCAGCCTCCCGCACTGCTAGGATTACAGGCATGCGCCACAGCACCTGGCTAAATTCCTTTTTGCTGAATAGTACACAGTGCTTTCTGCCCCTTCCTCCCTGTAAGTCTGGGTTAGGCCCTGAGCCCACATCTTCATCTATTCTGTTTCCCAACAACTACTTCTGATTACATCTTCCTTCTCTCTCCCCCTTCTGCCTGCTGCCCCTTCAGCCTTTGGGCTGTCCTGCAAGCACATCAGCAGATTACCACCACAGGAGGCCTTGTACTTGCTGTTCCTGCTGCCTGGCATGCCCTTCCTCCAAAGCTCTGGCTCTCCCCTCACCTCCAAGCCTCTGCTCACATGTCGTCTCCTTAGGATGGCTTCCTTTGGGCACCCTATTCTTGTTTCCAACACTCCTGAACCCCTTCCCAGTCTTAGTGATTGAACCTTGGGATGTTTTACAACTGAACCCTTTATTTATTTTTTGAGACAGGGTCTTGCTAAATTGCCAAGACTGGCCTTGGACTTGCCATCCTCTTGCTTCAGCCTCTTGTTGCTGGGATTATAGGTTTGCAGCACTGTGCCTTGGTTATTATTTTTTCCATATCATGTTAAGACTGTGATATTTACAGTCTTAATACTTTTGTGTTTTTTTTGGTATGAGGGATTGGAACCAGGGGTGTTTAACTACTGAGCCACATCCCCGGCCCTTTTATATTTTATTTTGAGACAGGGTCCCACTGAATTGCCTGAGCTTTGAACTCTGGAGCCTCCTGCCTCAGCCTCCCAAGCCGCTGGGATTACAGGCATGGGCTGCAGTGTTAACCTTTGATCTGTTGGTTAATTATTCATCTCCTTCCACCAGCATGTTGGTACCACAAGGGCAGGGACCCTGTCAGTCTTTTATTGTTGTGGCCCTTGTGCACAAAAGGTGCTTAATATTTGATGGACAAAGTAAGTCCCTGCAACACTGTCCAGGGTGGTGGAAACAGCCTGGCCTGAAATGAAACCTGGGTTTGACTTTCAGCTCTGCCCAGTTTGCCTTGTGATTAAATTCTGTGCCTCTTTCCTTATTTGTCAAATGGGAGTACGGCCAGTCCCCACCATCCAAGGTTTGCTGTGTGATTAAATAAGTGAGTATGTTAAGTAGCACACGTAGGACATTTGGGGATGCAGAGCGACAGGAGGCTGGCTGCGGGGCTGTGAGACCCAGGCAGCTCCCGGGAGTGTGCAAGCTCAGGCGGCCGCGTCCACTCTGAGCCTCAGTTTCCTCACCTGTGGCATGGCCGGGTTGGTGCGGAGAGGGGGGCTATGAGGCGCTGGGAAGGCGAATAACCGGCCATCCCGGTGCGGGACAGCCCGCGCTGCCCCCAGGCCTGGCCGGTCACCATGAAGCTGAACGAGCGCAGCCTGGCCTTCTACGCCACGTGCGACGCGCCGGTGGACAACGCGGGCTTCCTGTACAAGAAGGGCGGGCGCCACGCGGCCTACCACCGCCGCTGGTTCGTGCTGCGCGGCAACATGCTCTTCTACTTCGAGGAGCCGGGCAGCCGCGAGCCCGTGGGCGTCATCATCCTGGAGGGCTGCACAGTGGAGCTGGTAGAGGCCGCTGAGGAGTTCGCCTTCGCCGTGCGCTTCGCGGGCGCGCGGGCGCGCACCTACGTGCTGGCGGCTGAGAGCCAAGCGGCCATGGAGGGCTGGGTGAAGGCGCTGTCACGGGCCAGCTTCGACTACTTGCGGCTTGTGGTGCGCGAGCTGGAGC